CACACATTGGTGGCACCATTAAGAGTAATAAATAATAAATCGTCCCTCCTCTCTCCTAATTCGTTACAGTATTAAAAATTATCTCTTCACATTTAGTTTTTTAAAAACTTGATTCTCAAACTATGATTACACAATCCATGAATCCAGAACTCTTGTGAACTAACAGGAATGTGCTGGTCACAGCAACACTTTCCTATTGACCCTGGGGATGCTGAGATCGAATGGTCTTGTTATTAGCTTAGGTCAAAGAGTTCAAACTGAAATCATGTTTTCATAGACAGACAGACAGACAGACATATATGGTTTTGGATTATTAACAGGTTAGAATATGTTGGTACATGGAAAATAAGACACTTTAAGTTTATTTATGTAATAGTAATTCCCTCTATTCTCATTTAAGGAATTCCTTGAAGGAGATGGAGGTGGCGACAGCTGACAGGGAGCTCTGGCATGGGCTGGTTCATGAGGTTACAAAGAGTTGGAAGTGACTGAACAAGGAAATAACAATTCCATCATACTTTGAAATTATGTGAGTTATGATCTGAAAGTATGTAAACTCAATGTAGATTAAAAAAATTAGAGTAAATACACTTTTGGACTGGGACAGTAATTTTGAATTGTAATTTTACTGCAACCTTAATTGGAATTATTCTCATCTATTTAATCTAAAATGAGATAAAGATAAAATGTTGCTACTGTACTTTGGCCACATCATGAGGAGACAGGAAAGCCTAGAGAAGACAATTATGCTGGGGAAAGTGGAAGGCAAAAGGAAGAGGGGCCGACCAAGGGCAAGATGGATGGATGGCATCCTTGAAGTGACTGGACTGACCTTGAGGGAGCTGGGGGTGGTAACGGCCGACAGGGAGCTCTGGCGTAGGCTGGTCCATGAGGTCACGAAGAGTCGGAGACGACTGAACGAATGAACAACAACAACAACAACTGTTGAAGATGTTTGGGAATACATATTGTACAATCAATGTATTTTAGCCATATATCAGAATACATGGTATACCTTCAAAAGAACATAAACACTTCTGTTTGAAGATGAACAAAATATCTCTAGAGAAATCTAGAGAGGATCATAACCCAATCCATTTTATTACCAGGAGTAACTGAAACTGCCGCAGAGTCAGCCCTATCCACATCTTGTATTTTTCCTTGAGTGTGTTCAGATGCCTGATGATTAAGTCTCTCCATTTCTCTTCTCATTTCGGAAATAACTGCCCTTAGAGTACTATTCTGTTCCTGTAATCTCTGGATTTCAGTAGAAGGAAAATCTTGTCCAACATCTCCTATAGTATTCTGCAAGATAATCACACAATTCAAGAAGCAAACCAGAATTACATTCCTAAAGAAAAATATGCAACTCAAGCAAGCAACCAACAACTGCTCTGACAAATACAATTGTTTAACTAAAATGATCACACAACTGTCAAATGGGCAGAAGAAAAAAGAACATTGGAGTTGTTAAATAACACTGATATCTGAGGAATTGCACCCTAGAAAGCAATAATATGTAAAATACAATTTGGATTACATGAGAGCAGCCTGATTGGGTCAGCTCAATCTATTGGCTTGAATGATAGAAATCTGCTAATAAAGTTTCAAGTATTATGATCAGAAGGCAAATAAAATAACAGTGCACTCACTTCAGACTGTATGCTTGGTGAAGCTTCATGGATCTGGATGCAATTAGTATCAACAGGACTAGATTTAGCTAGGCAGAGACAGTTTATTATGTGTGCATATGCACTTTCAAGTCTCCTGTCAACTTAAGGTGACTCCACAAATTTCAAGAGGTTCTCTTAAGCAAGGCATATTCATGCAAAAGGACTCAAGTCCCATTTGCAGGCTCTTTAAATAAAGAGAATTCAGATAGAAGGGCTGCGACAGGGTTTGTTTGTTTGGGTTTTTTGGGCTAATCTTGTTCAGTGCAAGAGAAATGGTTTTCTGAAAATGAAACAGTAAGCAAATCATTTTATTCTATCAAACTAAAATGATTATTCAATAAATGAATAAATACATAGCTCCTGACAGAAAATTCTATTAATTAAAGCAGGTGTCTCAATGTATGGATTTTCACTAAGACATAGTAAAATGAAATTTCTTTTGGAATAACATAACATTCCAAACATGCATATGGATAAGGCTTGGGTTTGAATTCAGAGCTCCACAAATATGATTTCCGCAAACTGGATGATCTTAAAGGATCAGAGAAGGTAATGTTTATGGATTTCCTTTCCCTCGGCAGTTTCCTAGGCCTATTAAAATCTGGACCAGGGGTTAGGAAACTGCCAGAACACTGGAAACTAGTATTGGAAGCCACAGAATTGAAGGAAGAATAAGTAAAAACTGAAATCCCGTCAACCTTTCCGCTGGATCCTCGTTTTCTCTGCAGACAGAAGAACTGCTAACACTGTTGATTGACTCTGGATCTATTCTTATATGACTACCAGCTATAAAATACCATGTATAATTTGCATGTCTATTCATGAAAACACTACTTCAATTAAGTATTGTCATGACATATTTCCCAGGTAAAGTTCTTTGAAGCTTAAGAAGTTTTCCATCCCCATTACATGAAATGGGCTCTAACCCCTCATGACTTCTGGAAGAAGGAGATGGATCGGATGAACAACTACAAATAAACTGATAGAAAAACTATAATAAACAAGCCAGGAATAAAAATTTAAATGGCTTCTGAAATCTAGATTATTATGGTTTACATTTTTAATGGATCATTCCAAAGAATATTTTCATTAAAATTGCCTAATTTTCTTAGATAGCTAAGTAATATTCTCTTGGTCTAAAATATGTGTGGATCAGTTTATGGGTTTGTACAATCCATATTTCTGTATTCTCCAGATTTTCAGGAAATACATTATCTTGAAACCAACAACAGCAAATGGACAACCACTAGAGGGTAGCACAAGACATTTCTCTCTTCAAAACAGTCTCTCACAACATAGGTAGCTTTGCCACTACTATGTGTGAAAAAAGCTGTTATCTGGGAAAGAAATATCATCTGGAAAAGACTAACCTAATTGTCAAGAACAGTCTGTCTAGACCTGGGAATGCCATAATGGTTCTCAGTGACTCGCATGCTGAACAGGATTTAAGTCTTACTTAGAGGTTGGAATTACAGATGGCATTTGTGTTGACAACACAGAAAACCCCTGAGGATTTAAACAGGCTTTAGTTACACTTTCTTCAGTCTCCTGCAGTGCTGTACTTAGCAGGCAGTAGGCTATTTGTGAATGGGAAAACCTCCAAGATTAATAACAAAGCTCAGGGCATCTTAGCGACAAGCAAGTTCTTGCCACTCAATGGAACATAAGCAACAAAAGAGGACTCCTTCAGGAGATTTTCCCTTAGTATACATAGCATATACACCAAATTTTAAAAGGTCTATAACCAGTATTCTTTTGCCAGCAGGCAACATTGAGCAAGGATTCAGGTGTTGGTCAAAGTGCTTGGTCAAAGTCACTCAGGTAGAGGCAACTCTTAAGGCTAAAAATGTCAAGGTAAGTACTTTGCCTAATAATCTAAAGGTAACAGGGAATGAAGCGGGTTCAGCTGTTAGTACTGGGATGAGAGACCATTAATGAATACCAGGCACTGTAGATTATATTTTAGACTGGAAGGAACTGGCAAAATTACCTTTGTGTTTTTCATACCTAAGAAAACCCCATGAAATTCATGGGATCACCTTAAGTTGACAGAGAACTTGAATACACACACATACCCATAGATACTTCAAACTGAATTGGAAGGGCGGGAGCAGAAACAAATAGGCAGGTAATGCAAATGGAAGAATATCAAGATTCCACAGTTCATGTAACACAAATCAGTTAACAGTCTGACCACTGTATTGAATGAGTTGTTTCCACACATATTTCAGGGATAACAGTATGCTACAGAAGTCCGAATTAGATATAATTACAGTGTGAATATCCCCTGTGAAGTCTGTTTCCTGAAGGTAATGATGTAATTGGCATATTGACAGGTGAAAACCCCTCCAAGCTGGCAAGAGCTTCTAAAAACAGGTTGCTGATCTATTTCTGGTCAAACCAACAGTAATCCAGTATAAGGTTCAATATTATCTGATTTCATTGGATTTCACTACATTTCCATTATACAGATTATATCCAAATGCTTTAAACGAAATACTCCAGCTCTTCCCAAATTAATATTTGTGGCCAGATATCATATTTCTCACATTATTTTTATATTTTATTATTTTACTCTAGAGACAATTTTTCAAATCCAAAAATGCTCTTAAGCAGTGTTTCTCAAACTCTGCTCCTCCAGATGTTTTGGACGTCTGCTCCCACAATTCCTAACAGCTGGTATGCTGGCTGGGATTTCTGGAAGATGATGTCCACCTAGAGAAGGAGAGTTTGAGAAACACTGCTCTAAAGAATACAGTTACAAATGCAAAGGTGTAGCAATTTCTACACTGTGTATAGTTTCACAACATGTATTTCATGTTCTGCTACAAACAAAATCTTATAATGTTCAAATTTGCTTCATGGATATTGTTCTCAATATGACTGTTGCACACTAAAGCTGGAACAGTTAATAACACTAGCTCTATCCACTACATTATTTAAAGGAGGAATTCTGCAGAGAGATTTCAGGCAACTTTCTATTTTTGGTAGAACACAAACCACACTTGAGGCAATTACCCATGTATTATTATCTGAAAGGGCAGAGGGTAGTGAGAATGACTCTGCAAATCATAAAAGCTATTCTTCAGTGTGTGTCAGGAAACAGCCTTTAAAAGCGAGCCACAGTTCCATATTGATGTAAGCTAAAAAAGATGCCAAAGCATGACTGAGGCTTGCAACCACTTAGTCATGCTTGTGGTGAAGTCTTCTACTTGCATTGATGGAAATGTGAACTGAATGTTCCTTCAGATCCTGCAGCAAGATCAAATATCGAGAAGGAAGGGGTTCACCCTCTAAGTCCTCACACATTCTTGTGCAACAAACTAATATTTGCAAGCATTATGTGTGTGCTTTATTACATGTAAACATGATATTATGTATATAGGAAAACTATGTGCAATCAAGATTTTAGAGTGCCTATATATAAAATAAAACACTATATACAGGCAGTCCCCTGAGTTACAAACACAAACAAGACTCAAATTTAAGAATGGGGGTGATACAACAGGAAGTGAGAGAAATCTATCTCTAGGAAGGGAAAATCACTCCTGGGGAAAAGGTGTCTCAGCTAAAGCTTTATCACCAATCCTTGTTTCCACAAGTTACATTTTTCAAAATCCAATTATCACAGGGACAGAAAGTGAGGCAAAATCTTCTGAAGAGAAGCACAGACAGTAAAACAAACACCACAGGAGTGTTAATCCTTTCCTATGCTATCCAAAGCATGCAGAAAGAAAGAGAGAGAGAGAGAGAGAAAGTGGCAGGAGTCACACTTTAAAATGTGCCTGTTCCGACTTACATACAAACTCACTTTACGAATAAACCTACAGAACCGACCTTGATCATAACTTGGGGACTGCCTGTATACAAATACAATATGTAATAAGGGTTACATGCCATCTCTATGGAAACTATTGTTGCACCAAAAGCTCCTTCTCTAAACACAACATATTTCAGAAAAAATAACATACTCTTAAAGTGATTTTGACTATAGGTAAGCTTTTTAAAGATTGGTTCAGCTCAAGAAATGGGGTTCATATAATGTTGTTAACCTGCTTCTCTCCTTTTAGCAAATGACTGTGTTTCTGAAGTTCTTGAAAGGTTTGGTCTCTTTCAAGTGTTACCTACCGCAGACAGGGCCACTTCCAATTCATGCAATTTCTTTTCCTTCTTTTGTAGTTCAGCAGCAATCTATAAAACAACATTATTGCAACTTGAGAAGACTTTCTTTTAAGAAAAAATTCCTCTGGCCTCTTGTTCTATCAACATTATTCCACCACCACTGCTACCACCAATATAGTATATGCAACTTCCTTAAAAAGATAGAAAATATCAACTTGGATGCAGAACACATCATACGATGTGCGGGGCTTGATGAATGAAAGGCTGGGGTAAAAATTGCTGGAAGAAACATTAACAACATTAGATATGCAGATGATGCCACTTTGATGGCTGAAAGTGAGGAGGAGCTGAAGAGCCTTCGAATCAAGGTGAAAGAAAAAAGTGCAAAAGCTGGGTTGCAGTTAAACATAAAAAAAAAACAACCCAAGATTATGGCAACCAGACTGATTATAACTGGCAAATACAGGGAGAAAACATGGAGGCAGTGGCAGACTTTGTATTTCTATGTGCAAAGATTACTACAGATGCAGTCTGCAGCCAGGAAACCAGAAGACGTTTATTTCTTGGGAGGAGAGCAACCATCAATTTCAATAAAATAGTGAAGAGTAGAGACATCACACTGGCAACAAATATCCACATAGTAAAAGCAATTGTATTCCCTGTAGCAACCTATGGATGTGAGAGCTGGACCATAGGGAAAGCTGAGTGAAGGAAGATAGATGCTTTTGAACTGTGGTGCTGGAGGAAAGTTCTGAGAGTGCCTTGGACTGTGAGAAGATCCAACCAGTTCATGCTTCAGGAAATAAAGTCCGACTGCTCATTGGAGAGAAGGATATTAGAGGCAAAGATGAAGTACTTTGGCCACATAATGAGAAAACAGGAAAGCTTAGAGAAGACAATGATGCTGGGGGAAATGGAAGGAAAAAGGAAGAGGGGCCGACCAAGGGCAAGATGGGTGGATGGTATCCTTGAAGTGACTGGCTTAACCTTGAAGGAACTGGGGGTGGTGATGGCCAACAGGGAGCTCTGGCGTGGGCTGGTCCATGAGGTCACGAAGAGTAGGAAGCGACTAAACAAATGAACAACAACAATCAAGTTATATCAATTTTTATGTATCCAAGAGAATAAAAATACTGTTGTAACTATTTCAGAACTGCATTCTAGGATTGTTTTTGGCTGCTTTAGCAATTTTAAAAGAGCATTTTAATGCCCTTTTAAAAATTTTAAAAATTGTTGTATTGTTTAAATTGGTTTTATTTGTTCACCATCAAGGGAGTCCTTGTGGACTGGGAAATGATAGAAAAATATTTAAATAAATGAATAGTTTAAGAGAACAGTTTCATATCCCTGGGAGAAGAGATGAAATGGAAAGTCAACACCTGACAAAATAAATGGTTAAGTAATATCCTCCCAGTGTCATCATAATTCAAACTGGCAAAGATGACTTGGGTGAATGCAAAAGAATGAGCCTCATTTATGCTCCCTGGGCGCATCTTGAGCAGTGCTTCCCTCGTTTCCTACGCTGCACTATTTTATGGTCATAACTGCTTGCAGCACTACGTATGGAGAACACCATTTTTTCTGAGGAAAACTGGAAAATAACAAGAAAATTAGGAAAGCTATACACATCTTTACTTTCTCCTACAGGAATGGCAGCCCAAGACTTATCTGGTTTCAGACTTATCTGGTTCTGTCATTTATATGAATTGCTAGATTAATTGCTATCTCCAGTAGTTTAGCCAGGCAGCAAAACAGTTCTCATCCTTTTGCAATTCTCATGCATCAGCTGCTGGTACATCAGGAAAGGTTTTTAGAAAGAGAAAAGATGCTCCTTGCTCCCTTATAACAAATGACAAACCTCACAGATGCTTTGGGGAGTAGGGGAAATGCCTCAGACTCACACATTGGCAGATGTCATAAACATGCACATATGCCTTTATGAAGCAACTGTATGAAGGATTCAAACTGTCAATGCTTGCTGCATTTCACATTGCATTACCAGTGGGCAGGCTTCACCACCACATTCAATTAACACCAATTTGTGTCTATGCCTTCCTTGTTACTTCAATGCTGTATCCAAAAAATTGCAACCTTTATTTCTTCAAGTGGTATTCTGTTGGAGCTCCACTCCCTTTTGAAGATACAAAGAATCTTCCTAAGAGCCAGATCATCCTATATTAAGAGCTACTGGCACTATTTATATAAATTATTAAAATCAAATCAATTTATTATATTCTCTGAGCCAGCACAGATTAAATTGGTTATAGGAAATTTCAAAAGTATTTGTTAGAATCAAAGAAGAATGATTAATCTAACATCATCAGATCATCCATCACAAAAGATGACATTGCTAATAGTCTGTGCTAAGCAGCTTGAGATGTGATTATGTTCTAACCTGGTCCCTAGCTGTTGACAGGCTCTGTATCAGGGCCTCTGATTTCTGATACTGATTCCTTTCAACCGTCTCACAACGCCGCTGCCAGTCTAGCTCAATTTGAACTTTAGCTCTTTCCAGACTCTCTTCTCTTTCTGCTGCTATTGAAAGCTGCTGTTTATACCTAAAACAGGGAGAAACAAATGTGAGTAAATTTTTAAGACAATCAATTTAGGTGGGAAAGAAATTCATTCTACGCTTATCTCTGGATACACTTCTTTCAGCAGAACAGAACTTATGGAAGGAAACCGGTTTGACCATTTCCATTAATTGTGAGTACACCAGTGAAGAAATTTCAAAACAGAGCATTTATTTATTTAAAACATTTATATTCCACCCTTCTCACCCTGAAGGGGACTCAGGGCGGAGCACAACCTAGAAACTACAACCATTAATTGCCAGGACATAAATAGATTATACACAGAAATAAACATTACAATCAGTTATCTTGACATTAAAATCCACTGTTTAAAACCATCTTGATCATCCACATCGAATCTAGTTGGGATGGTAAGGTTTCCTATTGCTGCCTTATTGCACTGTCCCAAAAGCTTGGTTCCACAGCCAAGGTTTTATCATCCTTCTGAAGGACAGGAGGCAGGGGGCTGATCTAATCTCACCAGGAAGGGAGTTCCATGGCTGAGGTGCAATTAGTGAGAAGGGCCTCTCTCTCAGAATACAATAATACATTATATCAGAATACAAGAGATAAGACTGAAAATATGGAAAACTGTTAAAAGACATTTCTGAATTCATTCATGCAGTGCTAGAATGGAAACCTTAAGATATAATATGAGAAAGTAAGACTGTATATGTATGATGACAAAGCACCTAATTATATACAACCTGGAAAGGAAAAACTGGAGTGGTGTGTAATTTACTATATGTTGAGACTATGTGTTTATTTATTATATTTACACCTGCCTATGATCAAAGGCAGCATATATGTCCTCTTTTATCCTTCAATAATACTATGAGGTAGGCTAGACTACCTAATGACCCCATGGCAGAGTGGAATTTGCATCTGTCTCCCATGTACTAAACGGATATTCTAAGCATTGTAACAAACGAGCTCCTTGGATGACCTTACTCACACTGGTTGACCTTAATACTTTGGTGATCTCTCATTTTAATGCTATAATAGCTATCACTTAATAGGCTACAGCCATAGCATATCAAAGTTTGCTGGCCTCATGACAGCCTGCATGCTCAGAGTTGAATTTCTTCTATCTTAAAGGCTACTGACCCTTTAAGGCAGAAGAATGTCAGAAAGCTAGAACACAGTGTAACATGGCACGAATCAATCTCAGCTCTCTTATCCTCTCCTCTTGAGATGTCTATTGGCAGAGTGCCAGAAATCTTTGTTTTCTCAGACTATGCACCTGATTCTTTTTTCTCTTTTGCCTTATATGGCTAGGAGCCCTTGAGACAGAAACTGAAGAGTCATTGATAGAGCTTGTCACAGATGTACGTGACCAATGTCACTGCTTTTCTTGTGGTCTCAAGTCAAAGGACAGCAACCAGAGAGAAAAAATGTTTTCTTGCTAATAGTAGAGGACACACGTAAGAATGAACTTGTACTGTCATCTGTGGCAATGTGTAGTAGAGAATCAGCATCAAGAACAGTGACTTTCAAATATCTAGCCCACCATAGCCCTAAATCTCCTCTCTGTCTTCTGATCATGCAACCTCTCTCAGTTGTGATCAATGCATCAGCTTTTTGTAGAAGCAAATGGCACTCCTTCACTTATGGAGGAAGTCAAAGGATTGGGTGAGTGATGCACTTTTATTAGTAAGTCTGGAAAACTGCAGACCATTTCTTTCTTCCATAAAACATAACATGCACAGCTGAAACTTAGTCAGCTCCCTGTGTATAGTCCAGCCACTACATCTGTATGGTCTGAATTCCTCTTCTTGATGATAATATACTCGTCATCACGTGATACAGACTATGTTGGAAGAGCTATATGTACGGAGTAGCTCAATTCTGGAAGCAAAATTTTGGAAAAATAATGAAGTATTACAATGAAAGTCTAGTGCCAATTACCAAGACTAAATAAAATCAGAGAGCATGTCCTAGTGTTTATTGCTAAAAGGAAAAGATGGATTTAGCAATATTGTTCAGAGAAAAGGGAAATGCACCCGGTTAAATGCAGAGAACAAATGAAGGTTAAGGATCACAAAATGTTGCCTATTCTCTGGGTCTGCCAACTAACATTATCAAGTGTTACTTGCAGTTAGAATACAGAGACATAATCATTATAGCATTCGTGTATTAATACTTGGTTGGCATATACTCTGAGTGAACCAATATCTCAGAGTTGTCATGGATAACTCACTTTCTGGTCAGAGCTAGTGTCACAGCTACAACCTACCCCTGCTGAGGTAGATACCTACTAAAATGGTCTGCCCTTGAAGGCTAACGGATCCTATGAGATTCCAGGTGGTTTTGGAGGGTACTATGGCTGACATCACCGATGAGGCTGTTGAATTTCTCATCAATAAATGGAATCAGAATCTAACCAGGGCTATTGACACAATCACTCCCAAACGTTCTCTCTGACCCATTACAAATCAAGTTCCCTGGTATACAGAGATCCTCAGGGAAATGAAATGGGAAGGAAGAAAACTAGAGTGCAGATGGCATAGTATTATTGCAAGCATAGAAGAGGACATATATTGTCAAGACCCACAACATATATGCTGCCTTTGATCATAGGCAGGTGTAAATATAATAAATAAACACATAGTCGCAAATAATAATAATAATAATAATAATAATAATAATAATTAATAATAACACTTTATTTGTACCCCGCTACCATCTCCACAAGGGACTCGGTGCAGCTTACATGAGGCTAAGCCTGCAATACATCAATAAACAAAACATCAATAAAATAAAACATCAATAAACAATCAATGCAATATAAATCATAATCACATAAACAAAATAGACAATAAGCAATCAACAGTAACATATAAACATTTAAAACCAAAGGTTGGGCCAAATGTGATAGATTAAAATTAAAAAATAGTCCTGATGTGAACCAGGTAGGATATAATTGGGATAGGATTTTTAGAGAGAATGAGGGAATGCAGTCAGTCCTAAAGCAGTAGTAAAGTGCATTTTGAGGACATAATGCTGAGAGTTTTCTTTATTCTGGGAAGGCACACTGGAACAACCACATTTTCAAGCTCCTCCTAAAGACTGCCAGAGTTGGGGCATGTCTGATGTCTCTGGGAAGTGAGTTCCAGAGTTGGGGGGCCACCACCGAGAAGGCCCTCTCCCTCGTCCCCACCAATTGCGCCTGCGAAAGAGGCGGGAGCGTGAGCAGGGCCTCTCCAGATGATCGAAGAGATCATGTTGGTTTTGACCTTTGAAGCCCTGCATGGTTTGGGTCCAGGTTACCTACAGAATCATCTTCATCTATGCAATCTGCCCCAAACACTTAGGTCCCCTTGGGGGGGTGGCTACTCCAATCAGTCAGAACCCAACTGGCAACGATCACCCAAAGGAACTTTCCATTGGTCGCCTGCTGGAAGAAATCCAACAGATAAATGAGCTGTCAGAATTTAAAACCGATCTAAAGACCTATCTCTTCCAGGAGTCTAACTAGCCAGCTTTAATCACGAATTTTAAAATTGCATCTTACGTTTAATCTTTGTCATGTGTATTTTAATATATATTTTGTAAAATATATTTTTAATTTGTGTATTTTGTGAAATATTTTAGACGATTGTGTGTGTTTTTGCAATGTTGTAACCCACCTTGAGCCATGAGGAGAGGCAGCTAAGAAATAAAACTATTTTTATTATTATCATTATATACTGAAATTGATCATATTAAAAGGCAATGTTTTAAGAAATTCACCTTTCAATATCTTGAAATAAGGTAGCCAGTTGTGATTTCAGTTTTATTTCTTCCTCTTGCAGTCCCTGAATTTGAAGATCTTTTGAAACTGTCTTCCTAGACATCTGAGTTACTTGAGAATCACAAGTTGTTTTCATTGCCTCCAGTTCTTGTTTGAGCCTATAAAATATACAGAGCACAAGCCACTTCACATTAATATTTTTTTCCCATTTCAAGCAAAAGAAAGCAAAGAAGAGAGGGGCAAAGAGTGCAAGCACAACAATTCACTTATCTGAATCAGACACATTTAAATCAAAAAGAAAATTTAGACACACAGAAACATCAAATAACTTAAGCAACAGATACCTATATGAATACAAATGGTCCAAGAAGGCAGCTATTGCTTTACGAGAAATAATTTGAAAACAATGGCTATAATACATTCTATTGGCAGCATATTTTCCTAGCCAAAACTTAGTTTCTAAATTAACAGTGTAGATTATGAGGTGATGATCCTAATTTCTCCTGGAATCTAAAAAATAGATGCATTTCATTAATTAAATTATTCTTTACCTGATTGCAAAAACGGCTAATGATAAAGAAGTAATATCCATGGAAAAGTCAGAAAAACATATTTATGGCATTTCCTTTTCCCAAGCCTAATGCTCACACTGCATCCAAAGGGGCATTTCAAAATTTGCTCTGTTCAAAGATATTCAATTACCTTATCTCCATAGGTTCCAGAACATTGATCTAAAATTATCACCATATGAAACTAATTTTCATTTTGATACCAAGTTAAATAGATAATTATGCAGGAGATATCATTCTCATCTCATCTATGATAATCTTTTTTTAAGGGGCGGACAACCAAAGTTGTACTTTAAAAAAACCCCTATATTCTTCACTCTAATTGTGCTTATCATTAACTTCTCAATATGGTATCTGGTTTTATTCCTGTTCCTTGATAAGGACATGAATCTCAATCTAGAAAAGAATTTATATCGATAATTCTAAAAAGAATGCCTCCATATCTGTCCATCACTCTGATACGTCAAAATTTGACAAAATTTGTGATAATCATTTAAGTTACAACACAAAATTTTAGAACAAAATTCCATATGGGCACCTTGCAAGAAGTTAAAAAGAATGCAACTCAAAACTCACCACGATATAATGAAGGACCTTATCATTTGACACAATGTTTTGAATCAAGTTGTACTGTCCCAATTTGAAGCTGAAAAATCCCATTTACAAGCAGGTGGCTTTCCAGAAGAAAGAAAGTGTTTGATTATTATTGCCACTAAAGTGGCAATTTTCAAGTTGAAATTCCATCTTGGAGGAATTTCTTATCTTTCCTTTAATTTTTGTTTGTCTTTAGTTTGTTTGAGAACCACTACTTTTACATCTCATATTGTATGCCCAGGAAAACTGAAATGCTCTTGAACTGGTTTCTGGATATTGCCATTTCTTATGTATATTTATCCTCCTGTATAGAGACTGCCTGTTTGTCCAGTGTAGAGGGGCATTTCTGACATATTTATTTACAATATTTATATTCCGCCCTTTTCACCCTGCAGGGGACTCGGGGCGGATTACAATGCACATATACATGGCAAACATGCAATGCCAATTAGACATACAACATATGTAGACAGAAACAATTTAACATTCCAGCTTTTTTTGGCTTCATGAGGGTATGTTCGATTCCGGCTCGATTCCAGCCACAGGGGGAACTGCCGCTTCACTGTCCATTTGTGACACAGAGTCCTTTGATGCAAGTACTTCCTCATTCTTCTGCACGCCACTGGAAGGTTTATGGCATCATAAATTAGTTAAATTAGCCTCCCCGCATAAAGCGGTACCTAAATTTCTTACATTACAGATGCAACTGTCTTTCAGGCTACATAAGTCGACAGCAAGCTAGTCTAATGGCTGGAAGCTCACTCTGTGTAGGGGTTCAGCCTGTGATTGTCTCTGCCACAGGACTCAAAGAAGAATGATCGTGTCCCTTCAGAGATTCCCATGTTTGACTTAAATGATCAGGTTTCTGTTGATTTTCAGGGGTTTGTGAATGCAGATGATGGCCAAGAAAATAAAGTTAGCCAGAGTGAAACTGAGGATTCTGGGATCATTGGGTCACAAGGCAAAAATGTCTCAAGGCAGCCTGAGAAAGAGGATGAGGCTGAACAGTCAAGTTTAGATAGAGATAGAGAAAGGAATTTACTAATGAGGCAATCTTTGATCGCAAAGGGGAAATTTATCAGGATCGCCACCTGGATTTAGGGAGGAGGCGCTCAGCAAGATTGAGAGAGAAGAGGGGTCAGGGAAATGGAATGCTTTTGCTATGACTTTCTGAATAAATATAAGGCCTGTGAATCTATACTCTTCAGTGAGTCCAACTTTTAGTTTTCATGCCTGCTCCACGCCTTCTTGTTCATGCTGAGATTCATGTATAATCTTGCTTTATATCCATGTTCATGCAGAGTTGTTTTGTCCTGATTTCAAGCTCCTGCATTTCGATTGTTTGGTTCAAGTTTACTCCTGTTTCTTTAAGGGACTGTGGTCTTTGCAACCTTTTGAAACTGAAAGACTATTTTCCTGTGGGTTAGGTCATTTGGATTTTGGGACTATTTTGTTCCCTGACCAGGATTTTGCCTGGATATCATTACATTACTTTATGGATTGTTTTATGGATATTTCCTTATTTCCTATTTGAATGCTTTTTTACCTTTTTGACTATTGCTATATTAATCTTCAATAATCTGCTTTGCTTATTAAAGAACATTGGTGTGTTTGGGGGTTCAAAGGTGCCTCCTGCAGCCTTGGTGTGCAACACTCTGACCCAGGCTGGCTTTGAAATCATGACCTCTCGATCAGTAGTGATTTAATGCAGCTGGCTCCCAGCTACCTGCACCATAGCCCAATCATATCATACTGGAGGATGAGCAAGTAAATGCATTTCCAACATTGTGGGTGATGCTAATATCAAATGTAATATTTCTGTTAGATTACACAGGAGGGTAGAATTGGCATCTGAGACTTTGTCAGGGTCATGCCATTTTATTACTATATATAATTATAGCTTTCTGAGGATAAATGACCAAGATTACAATTTGCATCTTTCTATATTCAATTCCATTCCATAAGAGTGCATCTGTATTTTAAAACCTGGGACTTCAAAAGTACTTTATCAGGGCACCTGAAGATATCCACAAGAGTTAAAATATAAATCAGTGTCATAAAGGAGTTCCTAGATTCCTTTATTCCCCCTAATCTTTTACGCAGCAACATATTGTTTCATTGATAAGAGTGGAAGCTCTAAATGTAATGAAGAACATCTGCCCCATTCTTATGTATACCATTTGTACTAAGAGAATACCTATGGGTTTCAGGGTTGTCCTCTTCTAAGGAGGGAATTCTGATCTACAAGATTAGGTTAACTCTCTAGCAAGTAAATCTGGAGTAACGATTCTGAAAACCATGTCTTTTCCTTACCAGACCGCTCATGACTTCCACCTGCTTGTCTCTCCAGGACATTCAGAATGTTCTGTTTCAGGGAACAGTATTTGGTTTCCCCTGGAACTATAATTAGTAGCACCACCACAAGGGACTGCACTTTCGTGGCTTAGAAAGTACGCACAGAAGCCCTAGTTCCAACTGCCAAGTCTTACGCTAGCTGAATGAGTGATCTTGGAGACGTTCCTACATCACTTGAGTCTATTTTTCACCAGCAATAAAACAGAAACAATAATATACACTGTTTCGTAAGATCTGATTTATTAGACATCATCCTCTAGCACCGTGGTTCCCAACCTTTGGGTCTGCAGGTGTTTTGGACTTCAACTCCCAGAAATCCCAGCCAGCTTACCAGCTGTTAGGAACTGTGGGAGCTCAAGTACAAAACACCTGGAGGTCCAAAGATTGGGAACCACTGCTCTAGAACAATGCTACTCAAAGAAGGCCACTGGGCTGGCACTGATCTCTGAACTAGTGACTACCAATTGCTGGAGTTGCCTGGATAGTTTGATCTTTGATTTTATTGAATCTGCAAATAAATGTTATAATAATTCTGAACATGGATGTATCCCCAGGTATACTGAATGAAAAAAGTTTATCTTCTTTTTAAAATGCTGTATTTAGCTAATTTTGCTTCTTGCTCCCTCCTTCTTTTATTACAAGAAAGAAACAAAACTGAGTATGTTCATGAGAGCAAACACTTTACATATGTCGAACCTAAGTGATGCCATTATTTTCTTGCCCAGGCATTCAAAAAGGCCATAAGCAGTGACATGGTGGAGAAAGCAGAGGGAATCGGTGCTTCTTCTAAGTTTTCCTAAGACAGATGAAACTTTTATATTTTGCCACTTCAATAAAAAAAGTAAATGGTTCTTTTTGTGATACGAGTTAATGCTGTACCTTAACTTTTTTTAAAAAAAAGAACCCTTTCTAGAGTAGAGTAGCAGATGGCCTTCCTTGAATGTCTAGGTGGAAAAATGACAACAGCAGGGGTGTTGCCCCCTCAAGGCAGTGTTGGCACTTTTGCCTCTCATATAATCATAGAGTTGAGAGACTACAAGGGCCATCTAGTCCTGCCAGGCAGGAAAATCACAATCAAATCTGTGGAATAGATCTGAGGAGGCATGTGCTGAGCCTCAAAATTTACCATCAACTAATCCACAGGCCATATTAAAATCCACAGTGTTGGCCCCAAAAGCTGCCCTTACCTTCTTCATGAGTATGTAAGTTAAACCCACTTCTTCAAATGCAGCACCAAGAACAAGTAAGTTAATATATTCCAATATATACAGAAGTGCATCCCAATAAAAAATGAAAACACAATTTGTCATAATTCTTTACATGAGCTTTTAAAACATTCAATGTTACTTTTAATGAGTTCAATATGTTTTCTTTTGTATTGTTATGCTCTTAAAATTTGACTTTTACCCTAAATATTTGAGAATATTTTGTATGACTTTATCTAGGATAGTAGAACACGGTAACAACATACAGATGTGATTGCTTTCTGCTATCATCACCTGAATATAAATATTTAGACATGAAAATGTGTTTCAGTGAATACAAATAGATATCATGATGAAAATCCTGAAAAAAGAAGTCAATGAGCCAGACTGAAGATAAATTAACACATACTCACTTTTCAATGACAGCATCTTTTTCTTTCAAATAATCTGTATGCCTCCATTCAGCCTGATGTAGTTCTATTTCTAAAGTTTCATTACGCATCTGCAATTCTCGTATTTGATTTTCCCATTTATGTCTTTGTTCTGCATGAGCTTCTTTCATTGAAGAAAGCATCCCGTCCTTTTCTCTGGCAAAGCGATCAACTGTTGCATGTCTTTAAAAAAGTTTATATGATAAAAGTAATGTCATCTCTTGGTTCAATATAGTTATATGCCCTTAACTTCCAGCTCTGAGAGGCTCTCATCAGGTCTATAGAAGTAATTGTGTAATTAGGACAGAAAGTCCAAAAGAGAAGATGTCACTTTTATTCTTAATGTAGTAGTTGTGTAAATGATAGAATGCTACCAGGTGAAACTAAAATTCCTTTTTCTATACAACTATTGACAGTGAAGGTTTCTTTTCCAACTGGCTATCCTATGTATAATTCACTGGAGCAAATCCAGTGGGCCAACCACTTTAGGTCAGTGATTCTCAACCTGTGGGTCCCCAGATGTTTTGGCCTTCATCTCCCAGAAATCCTAACATCTGGTAAACTGGCTGGGATTTCTGAGAGTTGTAGACCAAAACCCCTGTGGACCCACAGGTTGAGAACCACTGGTTTAGGTGCTTGCCCATCAGGATGTCTGCATGTCAAATTGGAACCTACTCCAGTCAGCTCTTGAAATGCTTGTCTATACATACTAAAAGAAATTTTACACGCCAACACTATCCTGACACATACCATTAATGACAACTGACATGCAATACAGTTCTATAATAATAATAATAATAATAATAATAATAATAATTATTATTATTATTATTATTATTATTATTTATTTGTGTCCTGTCCCTCACCACAACAAGGTGACAGTCCATCGAGGAGGATCCTGTCCCATCTCCCCTCTGAGGACTTGGGACAGCTCACAACAAAAATGGCAGCCATTTGATGCCAAAAGTATATAATAAATAAACCAAATAATTAATATAACAAAGGCAAACAAGGTAAACAATAACAAATCGATAAAATACCATCAAATAAACATTTCATGCAAATTTTAAAAGCCAAGTCTATAAATTAAAACACATATCTGTATGTAAAAGCCTTATCCATTAATCATTCATTTCATGGGAAGCCAGATATTTCAGTATACTATTCCTCATAGGCCTAAGTGCATAGGTGGATTTTTAATAATTTTCCAAAAGAAGGGAGTGTGGGGGCCATTCTAATCTCTAATTTCTAAATTCTGTGATTCTTAATCCAATTTTGTTTTTTAAAATTGCCTTTTATGTTTTTCTACCTGCTAAAGTAAAAGACTAACATCACCTTAAGAGTAGAAAAAAATCTTTCAGGCTTACCAGTACACCATCTGCAGCAATAGCCACCTTTTCATGAAGTTAATACTTGCAATAAGTGCATACATTAAAATAAAAGGTTATCTATCAGAACAACTCACTTTCTCTCAAATATTTCTTTTTCTTTTTTCCAACTCATCTGCAGTGAATGAAGTTTGCTTTCTAAATCTTGTATCCTATATCGGAAGAAAAATATATAAACACAGTACATGAATTTTAAAACATAAATTGCTCAGAATAAGAAAAAGATGTGAAAAACTGTTTTCAAGGGATAAGAAAGCTGCTTGTAGGTTTTGAAGATTAAGTAAAATATTGAGATAGAAAAGTAGAAAAAAACGTTGTCGAAGATAACCCGTTAGTGAGGTGGCAATGATATTTTCATTGTGTGTCTAAGATGGCAGGTGAGACGGGCATTTTTTAATTTTATATTTTATTATTGTTGTTTTTAGGGGAGAGTGGGGCAAGTTAGTTTTAAGAGGTGCATACATGATATAGATGAGGTTTCGGAAAATTACTGATTCTACAAATTGTATAATGATACATGGATTGCTGAAAAAGATAATAAATATATTTTTAAAAGTTTTTTTTAGAAAAGCATACATTATAGATGGGCATTGTTGCTGGACTACAACTCCCATCACTCTCACTATTTACTGTGGTGGCTTGGGTTGACAGGAGTTCCAATTCAACCAACCATAAGTTTCCTCAAATAGGATGTACTTCTGAGTTGACATGTATAGGATTGCAAATGTATCATTTTAGAAAAAGAAGTCTGCAAGGAGCACACCAGTAACAAGGGGGTGAAATATACATTGGCAGATGAAATACACATTGGGAAGAATTTTGATTGTGGTACAGATTATTCCCTATTGTGTAAACACATGATTTTTATCTAATTTGACTGAAATTAAAGAAACAGAGAAGAGATGCTGGAAATCTGCATAACACAGTACTGGACTATGTTATGCCAGATGTGAACCTCAAGAGCAACAATTTTGCTCTGATGCCATTTAAAAACTGGATTAAGAATGAACAGGGAGGAATTAAGGAGAGTCAAACTAAAAGGAAAATCATCTTATGCTCTATGGAATGATACAGTACTGCACATCTTTCACAGCTGCAAGATCCTTTATTTCCCAGTCTTTGGATTTGACTTCTTTTTCTAACTCCAGATTAATTGCTTCTGCCATTTTCAATGATTCTGCTGCTTTTATCCCAGCTTCTTTCAAAGCCTCCAGTTCTTTGGTTAACAACTTAACCTTTCAAAGGAGAAGAACAAAGCAAAAAAAAAATCTATTTCTCTCATCAAATCTGAAATTATGGTAAAAGGCTGCCATATCTGTCACAAAGTTAATTTGCAAGGCTATCTTATTTATTTCATAAAGAAAGGACATATTCATTTATATTGCTTTTAAAATATAAAGAATTAAAAATAATTATCTAGTTCAGTGAAATTATCATTTCCAAAATGAAAAATTGTATAACTGTTGACTACAACTGTAATAATATAAAAACTCAATTATTTCTGTAATATTTGATGAAGCAACCAAGTAGAAAATGAAAAGCTGCAAGCCCCTCTAAGCGGGAATGTGTAGTTATACTTGAAACTTCAAACTATGGTTTGGATTCTAAACTAGAATTAGTGCAAATCATGGTTTGCCAAAATATCCAAACTTCTAAATGATCAGAACAAACCTGTAAAAGAATACACCTATATGCCACCAGCAGCTTCACTGCCTCTCAAAAATCTTAACAATATTTGGAATCCCATGAAGATATCCTTTACAACACAGCAAAGCATATAGTCTTCATAGGTATGCCTTCCCACAGGTTTCCTTTCCCATCCTATCTGATCCACTCCTTTGGGCTTCACACAAATCTACCATTTGCCAAAATATATGATCCTGTGCTTTTCTTTTTCATTTCTGGCTAAATAGCTTAACCATTGGTTCATCTCATAGAGTACAAGGTCTGCCCAACGGCTGATTGTGCTGTCTTGGTATCCAGTCATTAGTTGACATGTCCATTGGTTGTCTCCCACAGGTTTACATGTGTACATATATATATTTGCACTTTTTCTATGTTGTACTGAATAAAACTGCAATTCTAGGCATAATTTCATAGAAAATCTACTGAAATGTATGGGATAATGCTTTCTACTTATTATCAATTGCAATGAGGAAATGAAGAAGACTAACTGGTGGGTATTTTGTTCACGTGCAAAAATTGTTTTAGTAACTTGTTAATAAAATTATTCCCCTTGGCTCAAAAGCAAATAATTCATACTTGAAGTAAAAAAAAAACAACCTTTTAATGTTTCCTACCTCATCAGCATCCCATTCAATATAGAGCATTTACTTCCTGGCAGACATAGAGAGCATCAATGAGGAAAACAGCATATTCTTGGGAATTTTCCCCTGAGACTATTTATTTCATACAGATCAATAGAAAACCTACCCATAACCTCCAATGATTACAAAATAAACCAAGTAAGAATCATAGCAAAAATATGCTGATGTGTTTTTAACACGGCTTTGTGTAGTTCATGTTTTGTGGAAACAGGTACCTTAAGCTCATGAGATAGAACTACATTGCTCATTTCATCAGCTTTCTGTCGAAACTCATATTCTCTCTTTTTGATTTCTGCATCAAATTCCACTAGGAGTTCCTGAAATATAGGATACAAATTACATCAATATAACTATGCATATAAGTCTTATAGGGAAAAAAACCAAGAAAGTATTTGAAAATCTTATTAATAACTCTGACTTGTCAAATGTGAGAGATTTGTGGGAATTAGGCTGAAAATGGTCAACTATATATTTTAATTTATTAATTAATGCAGGTCAATTTGAACTAAGATGGCTATGAACTCAGACATTTGTTTTGCAAGTGCCTGGACTCCACAGAGTTAGAATAATACAAGGGTAGGTAACATCCCAGGGATGCATCAGATCTCTTTGGACTTCAGATTGCTACACCAACCCTCTGTGAACCACACTGGACCACCTTTAGTGTGCTTGGCTGAAAACAGTCCAGAACATATCCTAGGCAGTGTCAAATGTCTGCCTTACTACACCATGGAGGTCTTTATTCAAAATCAGAAGTGACTACCAAAAATATTTTGAGGGACATGGGAAATACTGGGGGCACTGGGAGAGCGTAGATGCTAGACTGCAGTGAAAATGTGGGAAGATCTGCATCCAGCATGTGGGTCATATCTTTCCCATTACTACAGTAAGAGTAGGATATGAAAAAGAAAATATTAAAAATAATCTTCTCAAATCTTGTAGTTAGTTGCAACAAAATTTTCTACCCCAAAGAATCTTCACAGCTGCTTCAGTATAATGTTCTGCCTCCTGAAAAGATATTACTTCTATTGTTGTACTTGTGACCTGACAATTGTCTTCGTGACATTATTATTCTTTCCCATTTTGACAAAGTTCTGAATTTTCCATTGTGATTTCACTATTATGATTATTGTGGAATCAATAAAATATAATCTTTGCTTTGGTATTTAGCTTTATTTTAGTAAATTGTTTGATACATCTTTCAGCATCTCGAAATGATTTTTATATTGATAATTTGGTGATATTGGGAATTTAAGGGAGGAATGCAAAACTGAGCAGAAATCAATTACTATAGGGTTATACAAACACTCTGGTGCCTGTAATTAAATTAAAATGTCTCATGTCAGTTAATAGTTCTTTTAATATGACACACAAAGCAGAAAGGAAGAGAGCCCTGAAATCAGATACATAATGACTGCTGGCAGGCACCAGAGTGTTTATTTAGCCTTTGCAACTGCCTAAAGCTGGTCTTGATTTATAGTTTTGACCTTCCTGAAATTTCAAAGTTGGTGAATTTAGCACAGCATTTTGGCTTTCCCTCATGAAAAGAATTTTACACCATCTCATTTTACTACACATAATCCTACCAATTTTTCTCAACAGGAGACGAGCATAGTGGGAAGAAAAGCAAAAACATAAATGCTACCTGATATTTAGAATGATAAACCAATGTGAGACTTATTAATTGCTTACTGTATATGCATCATGAGACATTTAGAACACTGAGGTACAAAGCAGTTTTTTTTTCTTTGTGAGAAACACAAATGTAATATCATTACTATTCAACTGGTTTACCAAATTTTCCATACCTGTCTTTGCAAAGCAAGTTCACCTTCTACTTCCTGGAGTTTTCTCTCCAACTGGTGTTTAATATTCTCATACTCCTCACGTTGAAGACTAATATCAGAATCTTTAGTGCTATAAATGCAAGCACAGTACTTTTTAATGTACAAAGTGCATGCAAGAAGCAACTCTTAAGCACAATCTTATGATCCCTAGGAAACAGCTTTAACACCAGAAAAAAAAATCTGATGTCAGGTCTCTCCTCCCAGCCCCCTATTTGATGCTAGAGAAGAAGGAAAGGAAGAGAATTTGGGAGTGAAATGGGCAAATGGGAAAGCATCTCATCAGTTTATGTATAAATTCAATTTACTGTTGATACATTTATTCTATAACAATGTAATCAAACAATTAATAACCTATAATAAATATTTGTCCTGTTTCTGAAAACCTACAAATTTAATGGAAGTTTAAAAAATTATTTTGTTTTGCAGGTACAAAAAATTCAGCAAATCGGCTCTTTGGGGATCAAGGCAACAGGCAGTAGCTGTGTCTAAATAAATTCCCACTACTTATTATGTTTCCTTGAGTCAGAATCACTTTACTCTAATAACAAATAGACGTATTTAAAGAAATTAACTTGTCTGAAATAGGAAGAGAGTATGAGCATTCTAAACAGTATAAAATTGAATTAAATATTAAAATATGTCATATACACCTATGCATCCCTTCAGAATTAAAAATCTGAAATACTTTTCAAAATTTTAAACTCTCCAAAATCTAAAACTATCCACGTGGGTCACTTAGTGACATTTTTGCCTTCTGATGGTTCAAAGTAGACACACTTTGTTTTATGCACCAAATTATTAAAACTGTTAGATAAAAATTACCTTCAGGCTACATGTATGAGGTATATATGAAGCATAAATGAATTTCATCTTTCGTTTAGAGTCTATCTCCAAGATAGCATCATTATGTACTTATATGCACATACAGGTATATTAAAATCTGGAAGAATCTGAAATCCAAAATACTTCTGGTCTCAACCATTTTGATAAGGGATACTCAATTAGAATACAGCACTGATGCCTACCACAATACAACATACTTCGGGATCACTATGGCCTGTGTGTTGCACATAAAGCTTTGCTCAGTTCAGTTGCATGGAATGACTTGGAACAGTGGGATATGGGCACGAGGCCAATGCACAACTGACATAGCAAAACAGGAGTATTGGTTAATACCCTAGATAACAATATCCTTTAAGCCATAGTTGAAGTGAAAATTACAAATAGATCCATGGCATCTCAATAGCTAATATGCATGGTATGACACATGAGATGTACACTGGGATCATTCTGTAAGCGGCATGAAGTGTGATCATCAAGTGGTCAGCTGTAAATACTCTCTAAAACAAATAAAGAAACAAACTGTGCCAGCAAAAGATGAAACAGTCATGACATACTTGGGGTAGCTTATTCATTTGTCAATTCAAGTCCTTTGTATAGTCATGTAAATTCTAATACAGGGTTGGTTTATTGATAGTTCATTGGTAGACCCACACAAAAACGTCCCCTCTATGGATGAACCAATATTTCCTCCTTATCACATCGGTGGTTTTGGATAACCATGACTTGCTGAGGAGAGCAGAGATCAAGATGCCATCTCCTTATTTTGCTGTGGCCCTTTTCCGTGGAAAAAGCAAAGATCAATACAGAAGTTTCTGTGATCACACAGAGACTTCTAGGGCAACTTTTCTATCATTAAGTCTTTTTAAACGAGCCAGAGCCAGTTGTATTTAGAGAAAAATATTTTCTTTATATATGAATTCATGCTATCTTACACAGGGGCATCACTTTAGATTTTAGAAGAGACAAGACCCAAAAAGCTTGAAATCCCACTACTGAATACAAAATTAAGATATAAAAAGCATTGTTTGCAAGATTGTTTTTCGACTTTATAAACCCTGTTAACACAATTCTCAACAGAAGACAGATGACTATCCACTGTTTTTAAAAGGGGGATTTCTGTGTTTGTCATCTAACAGCTACAATTTCTAATCATAATTACTCGTTTTATAGGTTACTGGAAATTTGTGAACCATTTTTCATAGCAAGTTTCTGAGAAACGATGTGAATATAATAACAATATGTCAGAAATACAGAACTGCCCCCTGACAAAACTTCCAGTCTATCATATCAGACAGTTTGAGAAGTGTTGGTTTAACCAACACACAGGCACAAATGAGTTTACTGTGAATTGTGCTAAGTTTGAAAAGTGATTTTTTTTCTATAGTATTAGTTCTATCTTACCTGTGAATATGCTTCAACTCTAATTGGTGTTCTTTAAGCTTTTGTTGATATTGGTATTGTAGAGCTGCTTGTTTTTTTGATTCCTGAGCAAGTGCCTGCTCCAATTTATCTACTTGTATTTTAAGCTCACTAACCTCTGCCTGTTTGGCATTTTCAACCATTTTCAGCTGCATGAACAAAGTATCATAACGCTCCAGTTCTCTATCTCTCTCCTCAAGAACTTTAAGATTATAAGTGAAATCTTCTTTTAAACTGTTGAACTTTCTATGCATTTCTTCCAGTTGCTTTCGGGTGTCTTGAAGTGCTGTTTTCTGGAAATGCATCTGACGAGCTTGCAGTTCTTTCAGTTCTTGTTCTTTATAAATAAGAACTTCATGTAAATCTTTCTCTGTGTGTAGCACTGATGAATCTGAGAAATACAACAATGGTTAATTAAAGAAGAGGAAAATGTTTTCCCTTCACCATTCTTCTTAGATTCCATACAATGTGGTTATTGTGTGCCTTCCAGCTGCTTCCAACTTTTGGCTGCCCCAAGGCAATCATATCATGGGATTTTCATTGTAGGATTTACTCAAGGCTGAGAGAGCATGACTTGCCCAAGGTCATCCAGTGGGCTCCCATGCTGAGCAGAGATTCAAGCCATGGTCTCCAGAGTCATAATCTAACACTCAAACCGCTACACCATATGGTTCTCTCTGTATAATGTGAGTCTATGAATATCATGTACAGCGAATACAAGTAAAAGGACAATGGACAGTAAGCACACAGGTTAGTTTACAAAGGCAACATATTGCTTTAACATGCAGGACTGACTACTGCAGTATGCTGTTCATGGGATGCCTATAAAGATTTTTTTGAAACTTTAAAGCAGATAGATAGGTTCTGTTATTTATTTTTATTCAATCTAGATCCCACCTTTTTCCAGGCACAGCACCCACTACAGCTTACAATATATATTAAAGGATATGTACTTTTAAAAATAATTTGAAAATGCAAATATACTAATCCTAAAAGACCAGTTACTTCGGTACCTGAGAATCATGCAGAGGTACAGGAGCTGTTGAAATACAGTTCAAAGCATTAAACAACATTGGCTATGTTGGCTAGGGCTACTAGAATTTGCATGGGAAAATCTAGAGCAGGACTGCACAACCTGTGGTCCTCCAGGTGTTTTGGACTTCAGCTCCCAGAATTCCTAACCATTGGACGTCTGGCTATGGCTTCTGGGAATTAGAGTCCCAAACATCAGGAGGCTACAGGTTGTGTAGGCCTGATCTGGATGAAAGCTGGATTCCCATCTGAGACTCCCATATAAGCCTGCTTGTACATAAAGTTCTTTTTCTGAAGCCTGTGTCCTTCCATATTAAGAGGTACAGATAGGGACTATAGGCCAGACCTTTTTAGTTAGTATACACTTCAGTTTGTAATAGTTTCAAAAGAGATAGACTGATAACTTTGTTTCACAACATATGTATAGCCAAGAATTTTTTTATCATGAAGATTTTAAGTTAACTTTAAAACAGGAACTATTAATTTCTCTCTGTTTTATTTTTTATCATTTCTTTCTTGGACTTTACCCTTACCAGCCATATGGGGATGATCCAGGTGGTGTTTCTTCACCCTACCCATGACAACCTTTGATAGTGTGAGAAACAAAATACTACAGCAAGTCAGACTTGGCCCCTTTTGAAGGAGCCGTGCATTCCTTCAGAGCTACATATGAGTGACAAACTGATCTGGGACAACCCTATTCCCAAGGTTGTGACATTCAAATATGCAATCTTGCATCTAGGGAGACTCATAAAAAGCAAAAAAAAAAATCCCAAAAAAACCTTTCCTGCAAAGATTGTATGTAATGTAGTGGTATATATATTTCTTTCCTACATAGAGATGAAAAAGAGAGTTCTCTTTGATGCACTGCTGAAAGACAAGAATGAACATGGAAGAGGAGAAACTGGAAGCTTGTTAACCTTGTCCAGTCTATTTCTGAAAGAAAGTATGGGAGGCCCGAAGGGAAAAATCATAACAAGGGCTATATATAAGCCTTCCTGCTACATTGGTGTAGTTAAAGGGTGCAGCAATGTCTGGATTCTCACCTTGAAACCACTAAGCGCCACAATATTTTGAATGAGGTTCTATAAAGATGCAAAACTCTAATTCACAGAGATTACATAGAAGAATGTATTTACTGAGTGTAACATTCAGCCTGAAGTCTCTAAACACACTAACTAGGAAGTAAGTCCTGTGAAACAGAGAGGGACTTTCTTCTGAGTATGGCCCCTTCCACACTGCCCCTATATGCCAGGATCTGATCCCAGATTATCTCCTTATCCCAGATTATCTAGCAGTGGAGACTCATATAATCCAGTTTAAAGGATATAATCTGGGATCAGATCTTGGGATATAAAGGTTGCTTACCTGTAACCGTATTTCTTCGAGTGTCAGTCCGTGAAATCCGCACCTATGGGTTCTTCCTTGCGCATGCGCAGAAACTCGGAACATTTCTAGTTAAAATGAATTAAAAATGATTATTTTGAGCCATATAGGCTCCGCCCATCTCCCCGCCCCCCGGATATATGCGCCGAGCGGCGCCGCCATTATCTAGTTCCTTTTTCCGCGCTAAACTAGCAGCATCTCGGAACACCTCTCCTCGCAGCCAGGAGAATGGCATGACAGAGGGGAGGACGGGCGGGTCGTGCGGATTTCACAGACTGACACTCGAAGAAATACGGTTACAGAAATACAGGTTACAGGTAAGGTATTCTTCGTGTCCATGAAATGCGCACCTATTGGTGAATAGCAAGCTACTGACCTGGAGGTGGGTCATGCCACACAGGAGAAAAGAACTGCTCTGCCAAAACCAGCATCTTTCTTTGCTTGTATGTCAAGCTTGTAGTGGGAGGCAAACGTGGACGGTGTAGCCCACGTAGCTGCTTTGCAAATTTGGTCCAAAGGAACTCCCTTGAGGAATGCTTGAGATGTGGACACAGAGCGTGTTGAATGTCCCACAAGGTGGGATGGAGGGTCTTTGCCTGCGAGTTGGTAGGCTAGACGGATCGTCGCAACAATCCAGGAGGCTAGTCCTTGGGAGGACACAGGTTGGCCAAGTACGTCTTTCCTGTATTTCAAAAACAATCTAGGAGACTTCCTATAGGTGGAAGTTCTATGTAAGTAAAAGGAGAGTGCTCTTTTAACATCAAGGGAGTGCAGAACTACCTCCAACTGGGAGGATGGGTTGGGAAAAAAAATTGGCAGAACAATGTCTTGAGACATATGAAAGTGAGAGACCACCTTAGGGAGGAACGTGACATCGGTGCGGAGGACGACCTTGTCAGGGTGGAATCTAACATAGGGAGGGTCTGAGCGGAGGGCCGCGAGTTCGCTGGCTCTCCTGGCTGAGGTAATGGCCACAAGGAAGGCCGTCTTCCACGACAGGTGGGAGATATCATTAGAGGTCATAGGTTCAAACGGTGGTTTGGATAACTGGGATAACACTAGCTCCAGGCTCCACTGGGGGGGAGACGGGGAGACGGGAGGGTGGATATTTTTGTAGCCCTTAAGGAATAATTGTACCAAATGGTCCTGAAAAAGGGACGGCAAACCGGACTTTCTTTGGAAAAAGGAAATTGCTGCCAGGTAGCATTTCACCGAAGAAAGGGAGAAACCTTTGTTGGAGAGGTGGACTAGGAAGTCTAGAATCAAGGGTATAGGTGCAGAAATGGGGTTGTGTCCCAGTGATTGAGCAAAGGATTTGAAAGAGGACCACTTGTAGTCATATGATCTTTTAGTGGCGGGTTTATGGGCCGCCAAGAGTATGCGGGAGACTTCATCAGAAAGGACTAGTGTGGTTTGATTCTCCACGCCGTCAGGCGTAGAGATTGCAGGTCTGGGTGTAAGACCAGGCCGTTCTCTACTGTGAGAAGGTCTGGGGTTTGGCTGAGATGGAGGTATTCGTTGTTGGAGATTTGGAGAAGGGGGGCAAACCAGTGTTGTCGTGGCCACCAGGGTGTGATTAGAATGCAATCCGCGTTGTCCTGGATTATTTTGGCTATGACTGGGGATAGGAGAGGGAGCGGTGGGAAGAGGTAGAGGAGGCCGGGCGACCATTGGAATAGGAAGGCGTCTCCGAGACAGCCTTGGGATGCGCGAGGGTGGAGCCGTGCGCAATAGAGGGGACAGTGGTTGTTTATTGGAGATGCAAATAGGTCTATTCTGGGTTCGCCCCACTTGCGTGTGAGGGCTTTGAACTGTCTGGGGTGTAGATGCCACTCGTGGTTGTTTTTCAATGATCTGCTTAGAGAGTCTGCCAGGGTGTTGTCCTGGCCTGGCAAGTGGATGGCTGTGAGAAGGACATTCCTCTGAATGCACCACTCCCAAATTCGTTGTGAGATGTGGAGGAGTGTGCGTGAGCGTGTTCCTCCCTGTTTGTTGATGTAGTATTTGACAGAGGTGTTGTCTGTTACTATTTGTATCACATGGTTGGATACAATGCGTGCGAAGGCCCGAAGAGCCTTCTCCACTGCCATCATTTCTAGAGCATTGATGTGGAGCTTCTGGTCTTGCGGGGACCAGTGGCCGCTGACCTGAAATCCCTTGAGATGTGCTCCTCAACCTAAGTTGGAGGCGTCGGTTGTGAGGGACATAGAGGAACAGGGATGGCTGAATGGCATCCCCGAGAGAACATTGTATTGCTTTGTCCACCATGAGAGTGACTGGAGGACAGGGAGGGGCGGTTTCAGGACCCGTGACTGGGATTCGTGAAGGGGGTCGAACGCTCTGAGAAACCAACTTTGAAGGGGTCTCATTCTCAGGCGAGCAAAGGGTGTTACATTTGTGGTAGAAGCCATGTGGCCAAGGATAGACTGGATAGCCCAAGCTGATGTTTGGCGGGATTGTTGTAGGGTCAGGATAGATTGGCACAAGTTTTGGAAGCGATCTTCTGGGAGGAAGGCCTTCTGAAGTGTGGAGTCTATAACGGCTCCTATGAATTGGATGCGTTGTGTTGGGGTCAGGTGAGATTTTTCGTGATTCACGACCAGACCCAGATCCTGCAAAAGAGATAAAGTATAATCAATATCTTTACACAATTGTGGTCGAGAGGACGAGCAGAACATCCAGTCATCCAGGTAAGGAAAAACTGTGGCGCCTTGTTGGCGGAGGTGTGCGGCTACAACAGACATGCACTTGGTAAATACTCTTGGTGCTGTGGACAGTCCGAATGGGAGAGAATTGAAGGAGAAGAATCTGTTTTGGACCGCGAAGGTAAGGAACCTGCGGTGGGAGTGTCTAATTGAAATATGGAAGTAGGCGTCCCGGAGGTCAACCGTGGCTAACCAGGAGTCTTTGGGTATGAAGGGGAGAATTTTGGGAAGTGTTACCATGCGAAATTTACGTGGTGTAATGAAAGTG